ATCTGGAAAAAAGCAGGGATGCCCACTTTCACCGCTGTTATTCAGTGTAGTACTGGAAGACCTAGCTAGAGCAATCAGACAAGAGAATCAAATAAAGGGCATCTAAATTAGAAAGGAAGAATTCAGATTATCATCAGATGATATTATTTTATATTTGGAAAAACCTAAAGAAAAGGAAAAACAGAACTGATAAATTCAGTAAAGTTGCAGGATACAGATCAACATACAAAAATCAGTAGCATTTCTATATGCCAACAGCAAACAAACTGAAGAAAAAATGAGGAAAGTAATCCCATTTACAAGAGCCACAAATATAAGGAAATACCTAAGAATAAAAATAATCAAAGAAGTGAAAGATTTCTACAGTGAAAACTATAAAATAACGGTATGAGATATCAAAGAGGACACAAAATGTGAAAGATATTCCATGTTCATGGAATAGAAGAGTCAGTATTGATAAAATGTCCATACTTCCTAAAGCAGTTTGCCAATTCAGTTTAATCCCTATCAAAATACCAATGATATTCTTCACAGAAGTAGAAAAAAAATTCTGAAATTTATATGGAACCCCAAAACACTCAGAATAGCCAAAGCCATCCTGAGAAAAAAAGAAAAAACTGGAGAACTCATAGTACCTGACTTCAAATTACACTACAGAGCTATAGTTACCAAAACTCAAGGTATTAGCATAAAAACAGACACATAGACCGATGTAACAGAATAGAGAAGCCAGAAATAAATCCATACATCTGCAGGACAGTCTCCTTCAATAAATGGTGCTAGGAAAACTGGATTTCCATATGCAGAAGAATGAAACTTGACTTCTATCTCTGGCCATATACAAAAATCAAAACAGATTAAAGACTTAAATCTAAGACCTCAAACTATGAAACTACTAAAAGAAAATATTAGAGAAACTCTCCAAAACATTGGTCTATGCAAAGATTTCTTGAATAATATCCCAAAAGCATAGGCAACCAAAGCAAAAATAGACAAATGAGATCACATCAAGTTAAAAAGTTCCTGCACAGCAAAGGAAACAATCAACAAAGTGAAGAGATGATCCACAGAATGGTAGAAAGTTACCCATCTGACAATGGACTAACAACCAGAATATATAAGGAGCTTAGACAACTCAATAGGAAAAAAAATCTAATAATCTGATTTTAAAATGGGCAAAAAATCTGAATAGACATTTCTCAAAAGAAGATATACAAATGGCAAACAAGTTTATGAAAAGGTGCTCAACATCACTGATCATCAGAGAAATGCTAATCAGAACTACAGTGTGATATCATCTCACCCCAGTTATAATGGCTTTTATCCAAAAGACAGGCAATAATGAACGCTGACGAGGATGTGGAGAGAAAGGAACCCTTGTACACTGTTGGTGGGAATGTAAATTAGTACAGCAAGTACAGAGTGCCTCAAAAACCCAAAAATGGAACTATCACATGATGTAGCAGTCCCACTGCTAGATGTATGCCCAAAAGAAAGGAAATCAGTATATCGAAGAGATAGCTGCACTCCCATGTTTATTGCAGCACTGTTCACAACAGCCAAAATTTGGAATCAACCTAAATATCTATCAGCAGATGAATGGATGAAGAAAATCTGGTACATACAATGAAGTACTATTCGGCCATAAAAAAGAATGAGATCCTATCATTTGCAACAACCTGGATGGAACTGGAGGACATTATGTTAAGAGAAGCCAGGAACAGAAAGACAAACTTCGTATGTTCTCACTCATTTGTGGGAGCCAAAAACAAAGAATTAAACTTGCGGAGATAGAGAGTAGATTGATGGTTACCAGATGGGAAGGGTAGTATGGAGGGTGTGGGTGAAAGTGGGTATGGTTAATGGGTACAAAAGTATAGTTAAGAGTGATGGAATGGATAAGATCTAGCATTTGATAGCGTTAACAGGGTGACTACAGTCAATAACTTAATGTACATTTGAAAATAAGTAAAAGAGTATAATTGGAATGTTTGTACACAAAGAAATGATAAATGTTTCAGGTTATGGATACTCCATTTACCCTGATGTGATTGTTACACATTGTATGCCTGTATCTACATATCTTATGTCCCCATAAATATATACAAGTACTATGTACCCATAAAAATTAAAAAAAAAATTAGGTTTTTTTTAAAGAATAGAAGGAAGAATTCAGTATTGTACTACTAATAAAGGACATCTGACTACCTTGCCTTAACTCTAGTCAACTTGAGTTGAGCCCCCTGATCTGAAAATTTAAAATTCAAAATGACCCAGAATCTAATACATTTTGAGCACTGATATGATGCTCAAAGGACATGCTCAGTGGAGCATTTTTTATTTTGGATTTTCGTATTAGGAATGTTCAACCAGTAAGTGTAAGGCATATATCCCAAAATCTGAAAAAATACAAAATCTGAAATACTTTTAGTCCCAAGCACTTTGGGAAAGGGATGCACAACCTGTATTGTGAAAAAACGGATCCATGTTTTATTAATGTGATGCATTTTTAATAAAGGTTGATTTCGCTGCCTCTACAATGAACAGTTGTTGTTTGCTTAAGGAATGCAAATTAATCTTAACGTCAGCCTGACTAAAGTAATTTTAGGAAGAAAACCTACTGAAAATAAAATGCATCATTCTAAAGTAAAGCATAATGTGTTAGTTGACTTGCCCTAAGAACTGGGAGTGTCTTAGCCAGCAACCTTAAGATTACTGAAGACTCAGACTAGCACTACTGACAGCAGAGTTGACAGTGTTGTAAGAGCCCATAGTAGAGAGATCACATCCGGCCTGCATTATGCAGGATTTATACAGTCACCTGACATGCCTTATGTACTGCTGGTTCAGTTCTAAAAATGTGTTTATCGTCTACTTTTTGTAAGATAAAATAATAAATACTGTGTGGAATTCACAGACGAATGACAAGTTCTTGGCCCTCAGGAAACTTTAGCCCTGTCTAAATCCCACAGAAGTTAATATTGCAAATGGCCATCTCTAGTGACCACTTTCTTTCCCAGGTCTCTTATGCTAAATTGAATTTTCAGATAACAGCTGGGAAGTACAGTTTTTGAAAGACAAAATCAGGATCCATGAAGACTTGGATAGATTGGAATGACAGACTGGGTTTAAGAACATAGACTTTGACAAATCATCATAAGTACAGGGCTAGGGTAGGGGATTAGAATATTACAGCAGCATGTATTTTAAAAGTAAGAATATGTAAATGAAGTATGAATCAGCTGCAAAAGAGCTATATTGTATTAACTCAAAGGGTTCAAAAGGGGAGGTTCAACTATTTTTTTTCATTTCTGGATAGCACTCTAAAAATGATATAGAAAAGTGGCAGTTTGAGAAGAGCGGGACCTGTATGGTGAAGGGTCTTGAAACTAAGTTACAACTTGGGAGTACTAGCTGGACGATTGCCACGCAGAAATCTCAGGAGGGAGCCTGTTAACCATCTTTAGATATATGAAGAGCTATTATGTGAAAGAGGAATTAATGTGACTTGCTTTTTAGTGGCCTCAGAGAAGAGTTAAGGTCAGTGAAAACGTTAGAGGTATGCAGATTTGACCTTAACACAGGAAAGTGTTTCCTAACAGTCATCTGACCAAGGAAGTAGCACGTTCTCCAGTGTGCGAGAACTTTTCTTAGGCTGAGACTAAAAATTACCCACCTCTTGAAGTATTTTGGTGGTTGGACGGACTGTTGTTCCTTCCAACTTTGAGATGCCATGATTCTAGGAGTTGTCAAGATTCTTCTTTCTTCATCCCTCCTCCTCTCTGCAACTTAGTCTCTCTGCTTTCTCTTTAAATACAAAAAAAAAAAAAAAACTAGGTAAAAATATACATATCTGATTTACCATCTTTACCATTTTTAAGTGTATCATTCAGTGGTAATAAATACATTTATATTATTTATTTGTCTCCTTCATTATCCCCTTCCAGACTTTGGTTTTCTCTTGATCTATGTCTTTGAAATCCTTTAGGATTTACGCCATATCAAGATCTATAGATTTTTCGATTACTTTCCTCTCCTTAATCACCTGAGGCAATCCAGAATGTTCTTTATCTTCAAATTTTATCTCAGGAATCAGTTTTTGTTGTTCTTTGATGAGCAGTAATTTTTGTTTGTTTTTTGTTTTGTTTTTGAGACAGAGTCTCGCTCTGTCGCCCAGGCTGGAGTGCAGTGGCGGTATCTCAGCTCACTGCAAGCTCCGCCTCCCCAGTTTACGCCATTCTCCTGCCTCAGCCTCCCGAGTCGCTCGTACTACAGGCGCCTGCCACCTCGCCTGGCTAGTTTTTTGTATTTTTTAGTAGAAACGGGGTTACACCGTATTAGCCAGGATGGTCTCGATCTCCTGACCTCGTGATCCGCCCGCCTTGGCCTCCCAAAGTGCTGGGATTACAGGCTCGAGCCACCGCGCCCGGCCAATAATTTGTTTTAAAAGCATAAAGGAACAGAATCTCAACTGCACTCAGCGAGGACAGTGGGTACAATGAAGGCATATGTGACCTTTAGCAACTAGTATTTTTGAGCTGAAAGATGAAAAGTAGGGCATGAAGACTGTTTTCTTGACCAGAGGTTGGCAGATTATTTCGGTAAAGAACCAGATAGTAAATATTTTAGTCTTTGAGAACCTCGTAGTCTCTTTCACAGCTACTTAGCTCTGCCAATTGTAGCATGAAAGCAGCACAGAGGAATGAATATGGCTGAACTCCAGTAAACTGTGTTTATGCAACAGGTGGTTGGCCAGATTTGCCCTTTGGGTTAGAGTTTGCTACAGCTTTAGGTTAGGCCCTACAGAGGCTGTTCCCTTTAAATCCAGAGCTCTTCACAGATAGATGATTGTAAGAGTTGCTTATGCCTGAAATAAGATATGACTGCTTAAGACACATGATTTCCTGATTGAAGATGAGCTTTCATCAGTCTGTTTCCTATTTCCATATAACTATAATGCATCATCACAGTTGATTACAGTATAGTTTTAAAATATCTAGGAAGAAGTGGTGAAGTTGACTGAGAAATGCCTTAATAATGTCATTGAGAACCCAGGACTGAATGCCATGAGAGTTCCTCCTGACTTCAAGAGCAACATTTTGAAGGCTCAAGTAGAAGCAGTGCATAAGGTAAGCTGCCTTTGATAGACAGCCCTGGTGAAGTGAAAAGAGTGTGGAATGTAGAGAGTTGCCTTCCCCAACTCTAAATTCTAATCAAGCTAGTTTAAGGGCACAGTCAGGGGGTTAAAAAATAAGAGTAAAGGCCGGGCGCGGTGGCTCAAGCCTGTAATCCCAGCACTTTGGGAGGCCGAGGCGGGTGGATCACGAGGTCAGGAGATCGAGACTATCCTGGCTAACATGGTGAAACCCCGTCTCTACTAAAAATACAAAAAACTAGCCGGGCGTGGTGGCGGGCGCCTGTAGTCTCAGCTACTTGGGAGGCTGAGGCGGGAGAATGGCATGAACCCGGGAGGCGGAGCTTGCAGTGAGCCGAGATCATGCCACTGCACTCCAGCCTGGGAGCACAGCGAGACTCCGTCTAAAAAAAAAAAAAATAAGAGTAAAGATGCTCAGGAGGATTTGAAGGCTAAAAAAGCCAAATTTGTATAGAAGTGAGCCTTCAATTTTTGCCACTTTGATAGCCAGAAAGTCTTATGATTTTTAAAGGCTTATTTCAGTATTAAATCTATGATTCTAGGTCTGTCTTTATCCATCCACTATTCCCCACAACCCATCTACCCTCAGTTTGGCAATATGTTTATGTAATTAGCAAAAAGAGTGAGGTACAAGCTGAAGAGTTGGCTGTGACATGGTGAAGGATGGAGTGAGTAGGGACCAGCTCCCGTGAGGGATGCAGCAGCCTTGCTCTCAAAATCAGCTTTTGCTTGGCTCTCTGTGACTTTCAAACTTACATTCTGTCCTAAAACCAGGACAGAAGCCTGCCTCACTAAGTCAGTTGTCAACTAGGATTTCAAATTCACCTGTTATTGAGAAGATGCACTTTACCCATCCTGTCCTGAGATACAAGCCTTGAAGAGACCTGAGTGGACTTTAGGAATATTGTTCATGTTCTTTATCCATTTTCTCCCCAGAATATAAATATAAAATATTTACATATAAATATAAAATATAATAGTATTGACTCTAGAATCTTATTTCTATTCTACCACTTACTAGCTTTGTGACTTGGGCAAGTTAGTTAATTTCTGTGAACCTCAGTTTAATTTTGTATAAAATAGGATAGTGGTAGTAACTACCTTAAGGTGGGTTGTAAAGGTGAAATAAGATAATTGGAATAGTGCCTGGCACATAATGAGCATTTAGAAACTGTTGACCCTTGATAGTTAGTTATAGTAGCGGTAGTAGTAATAGTTATCATTTGCTATGGTCATTGCTATGGTCTGAATGGTTGCATCGCCCCTCAAAATTTTGTATGTTGAAACCTAATCCCCAAAGCCATGGTATTAACACATGGGGCCTTTGGCAGAGCCCCCAAGAGTGGGCTTAGTGCTCTTATAAAAGAGGCTGGAGGGAACTTGTTTAACCCTTCAGTCACGTGAGGATGCAGTGAGAAGGCGCCATGTGTGAGGAATGGACCCTCACCAGACACTAAATCTGCCAGTGCCAGAATCTTTGGTTTCTGAGCCCCCTAAACTGCAAGGAATAAATATTTGTTATTTATAGGCCACCCAGATTATGGTGTTTTGTTAGAGCAGCTTGAATGGACTAAGAAATCATTACCTTACATTTCAGTTATCATTTTGGATCTTTCTTGACTTGAAGAAGAGAGAAATAACATGAGTTGCCTAAAGTTAAAGGGATTTGATTTTACAATGAAAAGACCTTCTCATGAAGAGAAATCCAGGACCAAACACCTTCACTGTGAAATCTACTAAACATTTATAGAAGAAATATTAGCAGTTCTATACAAAGTTCTTCAAAAAGAGGAAGGAACACTTCCCAGTTCATTTTATGAGACTAGTGTCACCCCAATAGCAAAACCAGAAAAAAAATGACAAGAAACCACAGACTAGTACTCCTCATGAACATTAACTTAAAAGTTCTTAACAAAATATACTCAACAGTTTATAAGTAGGATCATACATCATGACCAAGTATGGTTTATCTTGGGGAAAATGTTGGTTTATCATTCAAAACCCAAGATAGTTCACCATATTAAAAAATGCATAAAATGGTCTCAATTCACGTAGAAAAGGCATTTCACAAAATTCAACACCTGTTCATGATAAAAACTCTCAGCAAACTAGCAAGAGACTGGAACTCCTTCAGCTTGATAAAGAGCATTTAAGAACAAAATCTACGTCATAATTAATGATGAAAGGCATGTCCACTGAAATAGCTAAAATTAAACACTGACCATCCCTGTGCTGGTGATGATGGAGCTCCTGCGGTGCACATACGTTGCTGGTAAGAACATAAAATGGTATAAACACTTTAAAAGAGTTTGGCAATGCATTAAACATACTCATATCATCTAACCCAGCAATTACATTCTTAGATATTTGTCCAAGAGTAATCAAAACTCAGGTTAACACAGCTGTTAGTACATGAGTGTTCCTAGCAGCTTTATACGAAATAGCTAAAAACTGGAAAAAATCCAAATGTTCATCGAAAACAGGTAATTGTGATGTATCTATACAATGAAATGTCTCTCTGAATAAAAAGGAATGAATTAGTGACTTATACAACATGAGTGAATCTCAAAGACATATCCATGCTGCTCTAAAGAAGCAGACGCAAAGGATAGGTACTGTGATTCCAATTATGTGAAACTGTATAAAGTATAGATCATCGTTTACCTCGAATAAGGGTTTTTTTCATGGGATTATGTGGGAAGCCTCAAGGGAATATTGAGGTGGGGAGTAGGGGAGATAGTGGAAATGTTTGTATGCCATTTAAAAAAAAAATGTTGAACTCTACTTTTTTTTTTTAAAAAATGGGTGCATTATTGATGCCAGGTGTGGTGGCTCATGCCTCTAATCCCACCACTTTGGGAGGCCGCGCAGGTGGATCACTTGACATCAGGAGTTCGAGACCAGCCTGACCAACATGGTGAAACCCTTTCTCTACTAAAAATACAAAAATTAGCCAGGTGTGGTGGTGCACACATGTAATCCCAGCTACTCGGGAGGCTGAGGCAGGAGAATCGCTTGAACCTGGGAGGCAGAGGTTGTAGTGAGCTGAGATTGCACCACTGCACTCCAGTCTTGGGGGACAGAGTGAGACTCTATCTCTAAAAAAATAAAACATGGGTGCATTATTGAGAACCATCTAGTAAGATCGTATGAATTTGTATACAAAATAAAAAATGAATCTTTGATTATTAATTTAGGTATGGGATAGGCTTGTACTAGGTGCACAGCTGATATTTCCATAGATAAGGTATGATTACCTCTAATTTTAATTGAAGCAAACTGAAGTTTCTATTTTTACCAGAAAGAAATGTAAATTTCTTGTTACTTTAGTATCCTTAACAAAGATTCACTTTTCTTTAATATTTCATTTTCTTAGGTTACAAAAGAAGATAGCTTATTAAGTCATAAAAATGCCAATGTTCAGGATGCTGCCACAAACAGGTACAGTTCTGGATAGACTGAATTAAATTGATGTTCTTGTCTACTTTTTGTCTTTTTTTTCTTCTCAGTCTATCACCACATGGTTTCAGGATGTCTGTCTGAAAGATAGCTTGAATTCACTCTATTGTATCCGTTACAGACCACTTAGTACCTAGTTTTATATTTGAAGATGTTCCTGATTATTCTCCCAACATTCCCATTTATCTTCAACTGATTCAAACCAACAGAGCAGAAACCATCTTAAAGATATGTATAATCTTTTCAGTTACCTGGTAAGGAGTGTGTATTATTCTCTTACAGTTAACTTTGGTGTCATCCTGTTATCACAATGGCCTTGTTTTTGTGCCTTACTTGCCATGGGTTCTCACAGTAGCTGAGTAACTTTCTTTGCTTCTCCCTCCAAGTCTCTTCTGCCCTTCTTCTCTTTAATGAGTATT